AATAATTTTCTTTGCACCAGCCTCTTTTTTAAAGGAAGAGAGAAAAGAATAATTTTTCCATCACCGGTTGGTTCCAGTACAAAACAGGAAGACAGCATCAAAGAAAGACAAAGGACCGGCAGACCCCGCAGGTTTGAGCTTGTATTGCAGACGCCATTTTCCTTCCTGGTGAGGAAGCCAGGAACCAATAACCAAAGAGAGAGAGTTTCTGTCCTCAACTGCCTAACATCTACACACTGGAACCAAACGCCGATGTCATTATCTCCGTGTGGTGGACTACAGTTCTCTTTGTTCCTTTCTGTAGTGTCCACATTTTTATCACGCATTGCTTTTGTAATCAGAGAAAATGCTTTAAAAAAAAAAAAAAAAACTGCTTCAAAGCCCTGCCCCTACAACCCACGTCAGTCTGTGCAGATCACTGTCTTCTAGGGCTTCGAGAAGAAATACCATAACTAGACTAGATTCGAAATATACTAAGAGTCGATGGCTCAGATGCTCCCCACTGCCCCCCCCCCTCAAATGTCACTGGAGGCCGGATGAAGTGAGGAAGGCTGAAAGGACACGGGCATCGGCCACCAATAACAACCCCCAAAGAAGAGGCCAATAGGAAGAAAGACAACATGTCCCATGAAACTCTCCACTGGAATCCATAAAACAAAAGGTAACCGTGAACGAGCAACTGGAAATCAAAATTAAAAAAAAAAAAAACCACACCATAACTGATTTGATTCACAAAATATAAAATAGCATTGTACTTTAAGAAACAACTGGAATGCTAAAATATGACCGACCCAATTTCAACAGTCTCAACATTCTCTCGATTTAGCAAAGTCCTTAATACAAATACTAATTTCTTAAAGAGAACAAACGCAGACGAAAACACAAACGTAATAACAAGAACAAGACCGCCAACCGAGGCCCCTCGTTCTTCCCAGCAAGCCCTGTGGTACAGACCTACTGTGTTCTGAGACCTACTGAGCGCTGACAGCATTCCTTTCTTGTTAATTATAGTTCAATTCTTTCTCTTTTTGAAATAAGAGGATGGCTGACAGGGTCTATGGTCTCTCTCCCTAGGTTTGTCAGTAGGCCAAGTGTTGCTGCGGACTGAGCCCTTCCGGTCCTCTTTCGGTAATGAAGAACCGATCCCCGCATTCGCTAGTGGCTCTGGTCACCTTCAGGGCCACCAGTAAGAAAGTACCACCTTGCACAAGTCCCATTCCCTCTGCTAGCTGCCTGCCTTAACAGATGACGACAGCAGGCTGCAGGAGCTAAGTCTCACTACTCTCCTTCACTGAAGAACCAGGCAGGTGATGTCAGCATCCCAGGTTCCACAGGGCTTGGAGTCCCACTTCAACCTCTCCCCTTGCGGATTCCCTTTCCCTCCTTCCCTTCCAGACTAGAACACAGCATCCCTTGCTAGCTGTGCACTTTCTAGCATGAATTCAACAGGATGGAAAGAAAAGCACAGATCCTGGGTGTTTCTTACTTGTTGGTGTTGCTGCTACCAAATACTTGAAAAGAAGCAAGGTAAGGGGGAGAAAAGGTTTATTTGGGCTTACAATTTTAAAACAAAGAAAGCCCACAGTGGGGGAAGGAACAGAGGAGTGTGAGGTGGCTGGTCACAGTGCTTCTCCAGCGAAGCAGGGAGAGATGAGTGTTTGTGGTCAGCTCATTTTCCACACCCCCATTCCCAATTTATTCAGCCTGAAACCCCAAGCCCACCTTACCTTGCTGTTTACTTTCAGGGGGGTCTTCCTCAATTGAAACTCTCTGAAAATACTCTCAGAGAGGTGCCCTGAGGTGTGTCTCCTAGGTGATTCTAAATCCAGTCACATTGCCAGCGAAGACTGGCAATCACACCTTGGGTGGGCATTTGGACCTCTGCCATGTTGACTTTACTGGGCAAGGTTCTCAAAAGCCCCAGCAGGGAATTCCACAGGAAGAAGGGTTGTGCAGTTGCCCTCACACAGATCAAGGAAGTGAGTCTAAGAATAAAGAGGGCCCTTCTGGAATCCCAGCAGGGGACTTGTCTGACTTTGGGTAAGGCTCAGGGAACCTGCAAGAGGCAGGGTGGCAGCTGCTTGGCCCAGTTTAGTCTAATCCCCTGAGCTGTCCACTCCCTGGTACCATGATTGTACGGTGTTAATTAAATCATTCTCATTAATTCAGCCCGAGTGTAAATTAGGAATGAATGAAGACAGATTAGGTTTGAAGGCAGCTAATACATTTAACCCCTTGCTGCTGATTTTGTGGCCCTAACACAATAAGGTTGTTAAGGAAGATAACAAGGCCAAAAGCCTTGGGCATAGCTTCCCAATAGCATAAAAAACAAAACAAAACAAAAACCCGGAGACCTTGGTTTAGTGTCCCAAGGCCAGGCAAAGACATTTTCCCAGGGGCCTGCAGGACCAGCCAGAAGTCCTGAACCAAGTACTGGCTGTTGTACAAAGCAGCCTGGCAACATTTCCTGAGGTCTGGTGTGGTTTAGAGAAGTCACAATCCTGAGGAGAGTTTTCTTCTGGTCTGCTTAGAGGCCTCACCTTTGTTTCCTGTGAGCGGAGTGATAAGAATGACTTTTCCCATTGGCCGAGAGATGCCATAAAAATAACACAGTTTGAGTTTCTACGATCATAAATCCACTAACTTGCAAATCACCCGCAGCCTTGAGAAAGGCATTAGAAGCTGCCCAGCAGCCTGAAGAATTTTCCACACACTGGCTCAAGCAGACCATTGTTAGTCCGTGGGTCCAGTTTCTTCCAGCGGTTTCCAGTTTGGATAACCTCCCTAAACAAATTCTGCCACCCAGCCTTGCTTATCTTTCAGTAGCAGATGAAGGGATGTATATGGTCAGTTCAGGATTTTCCAGGCTGCGATTTTGTTTTCTTGATTTGAAACACTGGAAGTGGCAACATTAGGCAGAAAAGATACAGCAATGGATAGCAGCAGGACTACCTCTTTCAGCCCTGCCTCTCTGCAAAGAGAAGGGATCCCTACTGTTTCCGTGGTTGCGGACACTGCAGCTTCCAGGTGGTAGATGCAATAGCAATGATTACCTGTCCTTTGCCAGGTGGCTTCTCTTGGCAAGGTCTCCAGCCAACCAGCTGAGGTATGTACACACACTACTAAGCAACTTCTAGGTGGCTCTGGGAGAAAGCTGGGCATATTTTGTCAAAAGAGAAAACGTGTTAACTTCTTAATAAACCATTGCCTCACTAGAAGGCATTAACTGTTGGTCCCCTAAACCAACAGATTTGTGTTTGACTCAAACCCAGATAGATGAAAACCGAAAGGGGCCAGGAGTTGGTCCTGGTGCCTCTCAAACCGGGCCACTCGATACATAAACGTGTTTCTAAAGACCTGCAACAACGACCCGCTTCCAGTTCCCTCTTTCAGGGCCTGTCTCTGCTGTGGGCAGTGTTTCCACTTGCTGGGCGCTGTTTTTATTCTCCTCTCCTTGGGCACTAAGTTCTGCTCGCCTGGCTGGCTCGCTGCTGCCCTCAGGCCTCTGCACCTGCTTCTTACCTCGAATCCCTCGAGCTTTTCTGATTTTGTAAAGCAAAATGGAGCCAAGACTCAGTGTCAAAAAAATAAAATAAGAAACAGATTGGAAGAGGTTGTAGTGAGGCTGGCGTGTTAATGCTAAGAAAGGACGTAAGAGGGCACTGTCTTTCTTTGCGATGAGCAAAATTTATCAGCCCGAATAATAGCGAAGAAGTGGAGCTGGGATAAAAAACCAACCGTACTGGTTTTAGCAGTCTGTGGTCTCAGGAAGCGCCATGTGGAGCCTCCTTAGCCGATTTAAACCATCGTTACGCCTGGTGTTTTAAGGAAAAACGCGCGAGGGGGGGGGCGGGGGGAGTATTAAAAGTCGATCTCCTGTCTGGGCCACTATTGAGGGGGTGCAGATCTCCAGCCAGGCAATTCACATCTCCCAAGATTTCTTTTTCCTCACCTGTATAATAAAGGTTTGGACCAATAGTCTATGCTGCTCGTCCCTGGACTCTATATTAAATACGGAATAAAAGCCAACGCAAAGTGGCGTTTTAGCTCCCATCCAAAATACAAACCCTTGGCACAAAAGCCAAGAGTGAGGGTCAGAAACAGTGGTCGCCACGTGAATTTCTTCTTTTTGGGTAGCTTTCCTTTCTTTGCCAGGCTCTCGAGGTTGTGTGTGTGTGTTTGTGCGTGCGTGTGTGTTGGGGTTATATTCTCGACTCAACTCCAAACACCACCAACCTACAAAAAAACCGGAAAGGCTGTCTCTAAGGTGACTTCTCCCCAAAGGAAGGCGGCGGCGTGGCTGCTTCTTTGAATCTAGCGGCCCCGGCGATTGGTTGCGAAACACGTGGGCCCGCAGAATTGAGCCTGGGTTGCAGAGGCTCCAGCACCGCGTGGGGGCAGAGTCCAGCTTGGGGTGGGGAGGTACGACACCCGGCAAGTGCCTGGAGCTGGAGTCTGGCCCCCTGCCAGCAAGTAACCCCACGTCCCACTTGCGCGACCTGCAGTGTCCCCAGGGTCCAGATTTGGGCTTCTACCCTTGCCCCCGTGGGTAGTAGGTTCTGCCCTGCAGCTGGGATGTCCAGCCCAGTGAGTGGCTATAAGCGCCGATGCTGCGGAACCCCAGCTTGGCCCTGGGCTACTAAACTGAGCATCCCATGAACCCCAGCACCACTGAACCCACAGTCCAGGGCTGCTTTCCCCTGCGGGGGCGCTCCCCAAATCCCAAGCTAGCCTTGAATTAGGTTGACCCAAAGAGGCAAAACCCATCGGAGCCCCTCAAACTTATTTTCTTCGCAGTCCCCGGGGGCTGCAGCTGCCCGGAGCTGAGCCAAGGCGTCCGCTTTGTCTCCGAGCACTCCCCGCCTACCCCCCACCCCCCCGCTTCCTCTCCGGTTAACTCCCCCTACAGCTCTTTCCCCTGCACCACCCGCTCCGGCTTGCTCGGTGGACGCGCCTCCTCCCTCCTCCCCCGGACGAATCTCTTTGCATACGCGCCCCCTCCCGGGCGGGCGCGCAACTTATAGCCCGGTGCGCGGTGGCCCGGCGCAGTCTGCTCCCGCAGCCTCTGCTCTAGCAGCACGACGGAGGCGCTGCTGAGACCCAGAGCAGACGCCAGGCGGCCGTCCGCACTCACGCCGCAGCTTCGCTCCCTCCCTCCCCCAGCGCACTGCCCGCCTTCCTCGGCCGCGCGGCCGCCGCAGGCTCACTCTCCCCTGGCTAGGCGAGCGCCGGCAGACGCTTGGCCCGGCCGGGGCGCCAGGTCCGCTGCTGCAGATCCGGAGGCCGAGGCGAGCTGCCTGCCAGAACCAACCCGGGAGCCACTACCCCCCGGCGCTATCGCCTCTCCACCGGCACTCCTTTCTCCCTGGTGATCGCCACCTTTTCCTGGGACCGAGACGCCCTCCATTGACTCCCTGCGGGTAACCGAGGCAAGAACCCTAGCTGGTTGTGTGAGGAGGCCAGTCGCCTACTGCTGTAAGTTTCCCCTTGCAGCCCCAGACCTGTTGCGGGCTCCCGGATTTCAGGGGCGGGCCGGCCGCGGGGTGTGCTTGCGAACAACGAGCCGGCGCCGGCCACCCTGCCTGCGGCTTAAGCCCAGGAACTGCTCTCGGGGCAGAACTGTCGCCAGAGCAGAATCGCGCTGGGGGAGCGACGTGCCTCCCCTCGGCGGTGTAACGCCCGGGCAAGTCTCAGGGACTGCGAGGAGCCAAGTTGGGGGATAATATCATTGCCGGCTCCCTGCAGCCTCCAGACAGCCCAGCGCGTGAGATCGGTTCCCTGTGGTGCACTGTTGTCGGCTCCGGGGACGGTGTGGCCCACGTGCAGACCTCCTCATGGGGGCATTTGGTTGCAGCCTAATGAATGAAAACTGGTTCCTGAAAAACTAGTTTCCTCTCCTGCAAGCTTTTGCCTTTTAGAATGACATTATTAATTTCAAAGGCTAGGAATTGGTGGGCGGGGTGGAGATGAAACGGTGAACTTGGACGTGTAATTTGGTGTCGTCCTCAGTGACTTTCCCGGCGTGTTAAATAGCGTTGCAAATGTTGTAGGGGGCTGTGTGGCGAAGGGCTATTTTTATAAATGTCTTTATAGTGTCGTTCCATTGTTGTCAATAATATGAGTCCTTGAGAACATCTGCCTGGGCTCTTTTCTCGTGGGATTGAGATCAGGCTTAAAGCCCGGAGAGAGACGGAGGTGCTCAAAGTGTTGGAGGCAGACAGCCAGCCTGCATGTAAGCCACAGTAAGTGAACCGAAGTTACTGAACTAGGAGCCCTTTTGATGTTCACAGTAATAGCAGTCTTTCTCTGCTTTCTTTGTAGACGCGAGTTAAGTATATGTGTGCGTTTTCTTGGCCATTTCCTTAGCGTGCAAGTTTATGTCTCTGGGGGCTTAAAAAATGTTGGGAAGAATGAATGATTAATTTTATGTTGAAGGTGTTTTTAGTAACTGTATAAATGACTTCAATGGATATTTTACTGTTTGCATAATTCTAAACCAGAAAGCAAGTTCCTTCCCTCACGCCTCCAAGTCTACCTTTTGTTTTAATCATTTATGGTTACAAGATGTGAGATTGTGACAGCGACGTGCTTTCCAGTGGGATGGGATCCAAGATGACAGGGTGCCCAATTCCTCCTTGCTTTCTGAGGAGACCTTGAAAACACAGCCGGTAAACACTGGATGCAGGGTCTTTGCAGAGTCTTGCGCATCTTGTATCCTAAGGTCTTGTGGACAAACTGTTTTCTTAAGTATACACCTGGTCGTAGATGTTGTTTTATGCCACCCTGAATCTCCTGTTAATGGACATGTGCTGCGGCCCAGTGGGATTCCAGCCCAGCCGGCGAGCACTTAGTTGCTTATATTCCTTTCTTGGCTCTTAGCCAGAGAGGAGGCGGCTTCCTGAGACTAGGCAATCTTTTAGAGGTTTGGGCTTAAAATCTTCCTCAAAATAACTCAAGGCAGAAGGCTTTCATTTAAATAGCATCCATACTGGTAAAGCATGCGGGTTTCAAGTGCGTGGATTCTTAGAGGATTCCTCCCTTGGCCATTCTTTAGAACTTTTTTACAGTGACTCAAGATGGAGAGGAAGATAGAGCCTTAGCTTGAGGTAGGGGGCGATTAGTCTTTCTTTACCACCTTCCCATCCACTGGAAATTTCTGGGTGCTATGCCTAGACTTTGTAACACTGGAGCTTTGTAACTCTGAAGCTAAGTTGGTTCTCCTTGGCGTTGTTTACCCATCCTGAGAAGTAACATTCCCAAACCAGAGGAAAACAAGTTACATCACCTAAAGATACGGGCCCCAAGGGTCAAAGGCATGTCAGACACCTACCTTTGTTATTTTTTGTGCCAGCGTTCCCAGCTGGTGGGGGAAAAATTGCAGTTCTAGCTCATGAATCTGGTAAGTCATATACATTTATTCATAATTCCTGGAGTATAAATTAAAAAAATAAATATCTGGTTGACCGGAGGGAAAACAATCGGTTTCAGCTGTGCTGTAAGTTCTGGCTGTTTGCATCAGAAAAGATACTGTAGCCAAGTGCATATACCATCCCCTCCAGGCATAAACAACCTCCCCTGGAATCCCCAGGAGGCAGGTCCTTAAGGCTTTATACTCTCTTTAAAGCAGTTGAGTGGTACTGTCAGAAGCAGGAGTTAATTTCAGTTTTCCAGATGGACGGTGGACATTTTCTAAATTATTGCTAACTAGTTTTCTTTTACAGCAGATACTTTAAAAAGATAGCATTCGATTCCACTGATGCTAATTTTGATACCTAGGGAAGCGCTGTGGTTGGCCTTACACGAACAATGGTTAAAATAACACACATGGGCGCATGAATGTCACACAGGCACAGTCCACCCCTGTGTGCTTTTGAATTTACATAAAGCGGTGTTTGCAGTTTGAGCGCCCAGTATGCAGGTGCGGCATTTGCAGGTACCTAACTGCCCTGGTGATGGAGTGTTTAGTCAAAGGGGGTGGATGCATCCTTTGTTCTTGTGAGGGCTTTCGGCTTTCTAAGGATTGGTAGAGAGCAGGAAGAGCAGAAAAACAGCATGAGCTGTCAGAATATTCTTTCTTTCATGTGCCACAGTGTCGTTCTGGAATCTGTCCAGGTTCAGAAAGGTGGGTGGTAATTGTGGCCAGAATCTCTCCTGTGCTTTCACTGAGGTCTACTGATCAATGTATGGAAATATTTACATTCTGGTGCACTTAGAGCTGTCTAGTTAGCTGTCTATTTAACCTTTGCATAAAGGTCTGACCGCTTCAGGAGTTGGATATGGATATATATATAGTTTAGATCTTACCAAAGGAATTCTTAATAGAATTTCTAATTAGTAGGTGTTTGTTTTACACATGACTTTATGCTGCATAGGGCATTAAAGCCGGTGCCCTGATGTTCTTGGCATTATGAGAGCGGGAAGCTTGGCATTTTAAGCAGCTGTAGTGAATCAGCTGGCCTGGCGCTGGGAACCTAGAGAATGAGACGGGCTTCCCTCAGCTTCTGCTGACTTCCATTTGGCAGTCTGGTTTTCCAAGATAAACCTGCTTTTAAGCCATGCCCCCTACCCCACCAACAACCTGGTACGATTCACATAGCTCAGCAGTACCACAAGGAATGGTTTTCCTCCCAGGCAGTTCTCTTCCGCTTTGTTTTAGAGTGGTCATCCCCGCCTCCGAGCAGTAGGTAGCAGGACTAACAAGGCTCTTGTTTTCTTTGTCTAAGTGATTGTTGCTTTTGTGCTACTGCTGGGAACATCAAGAGCTTCCCGTTCAATGGTTTTGTTTTGTTTTCTTTCAGGAGTTGAAACAAAATGTCAGTCAGCGTGCATGAGAACCGCAAGTCCAGGGCCAGCAGCGGCTCCATCAATATCTACCTGTTTCATAAGTCTTCCTATGCCGACAGTGTCCTCACTCACTTGAACCTTCTGCGACAGCAGCGGCTCTTCACGGACGTCCTTCTCCATGCGGGAAACAGGACCTTCCCTTGCCATCGGGCAGTGCTGGCTGCGTGCAGCCGCTACTTTGAAGCCATGTTCAGTGGTGGCCTGAAAGAGAGCCAGGACAGCGAAGTCAACTTCGACAATTCCATTCACCCAGAAGTCTTAGAGCTGCTTCTCGACTATGCCTACTCCTCCCGGGTCATCATCAATGAAGAAAATGCCGAGTCGCTCCTGGAAGCTGGCGATATGCTGGAGTTCCAGGACATCCGAGATGCATGTGCAGAATTTCTGGAAAAGAACCTACATCCCACCAACTGCCTGGGTATGCTGCTGCTGTCCGACGCCCACCAGTGCACCAAGCTGTATGAACTCTCCTGGAGAATGTGTCTCAGCAATTTCCAGACCATCCGGAAGAACGAAGATTTCCTCCAGCTGCCCCAGGACATGGTTGTGCAGCTCCTGTCCAGTGAAGAGCTGGAGACGGAAGACGAAAGGCTTGTGTATGAGTCTGCCATGAACTGGATTAGCTATGACCTGAAGAAGCGCTACTGCTACCTCCCTGAACTGTTGCAGACCGTGAGGCTGGCCCTCCTTCCTGCCATCTATCTCATGGAGAACGTAGCCATGGAGGAACTCATCACCAAGCAGAGGAAGAGTAAGGAGATTGTGGAAGAGGCCATCCGGTGCAAGCTGAAAATCTTGCAGAACGACGGCGTGGTGACCAGCCTCTGCGCCCGCCCTCGGAAAACTGGCCACGCCCTCTTCCTCCTAGGAGGACAGACTTTCATGTGTGACAAACTGTACTTGGTAGACCAGAAGGCTAAAGAAATCATTCCCAAGGCCGACATCCCCAGTCCTAGGAAAGAGTTCAGTGCGTGCGCAATTGGCTGCAAAGTGTACATTACCGGGGGACGGGGATCCGAAAATGGAGTCTCAAAAGATGTCTGGGTTTATGATACCCTGCACGAGGAGTGGTCCAAGGCTGCCCCCATGCTGGTGGCCAGGTTCGGTCATGGGTCTGCTGAACTGAAGCACTGCCTGTATGTGGTTGGTGGGCACACAGCTGCCACTGGCTGCCTCCCAGCCTCCCCCTCAGTCTCTCTAAAGCAAGTAGAACATTACGACCCCACGACCAACAAATGGACCATGGTTGCCCCGCTCCGAGAAGGCGTCAGCAATGCTGCTGTCGTGAGCGCCAAACTCAAGCTGTTTGCTTTTGGAGGTACCAGCGTAAGTCATGACAAGCTCCCCAAAGTTCAGTGTTATGATCAGTGTGAGAACAGGTGGACGGTACCGGCCACCTGTCCCCAGCCCTGGCGTTACACAGCGGCAGCTGTGCTGGGGAACCAGATCTTTATTATGGGCGGCGATACCGAGTTCTCTGCCTGCTCTGCTTACAAATTCAATAGTGAGACTTACCAGTGGACCAAGGTGGGCGATGTGACAGCCAAGCGCATGAGCTGCCACGCCGTGGCCTCCGGGAACAAGCTGTATGTGGTGGGAGGCTACTTTGGCATCCAGCGCTGCAAGACTTTGGACTGTTACGATCCGACTTTAGATGTGTGGAATAGCATAACCACTGTCCCGTACTCCCTCATCCCCACCGCGTTCGTCAGCACCTGGAAACATCTGCCTTCTTAACGCACAGCGTCCTAGAGGAAGCACGCATGAGGTAAGAAAGCGCAGCTGGAGACGGAAGCGTGCGTTTCAGCAGGGTAGCCTGAATTCAGAGCATGGGGAATGAGAGGTGCCGCTCTTTTCCTATGCTAAGTTGCATGGGAACCGAAAGCAAAAGGTTTTGCGCTCCTACAGTATACCTGCCCGTGTTGACCATCACTGCAACCCCCTGTCGACAGAAACCAGTGGTTCCCAGCCATCACGGAGCCTCAGAATCTCCCAAAGAGATTTTCAGAAGCTACCCCCATTCTAGAGACATTGTTTGGTTTGGTCCAGGTGGAATCCAAGCCTCGGTGCTTTAAATGATTTACTTATTTTTATTTTAAATGTGTTGGTGTTTTGCCTGCCTGCATGTCTGTGAGGGTGTCCCCTGGAACTGGAACTACAGACAGTTGTGAGCTGTCGTGTGAGTGCTGGGAATTGAACCCAGGTCGTCTGGAAGAGCAACCAGTTCTCTTAATGGCTGATCCATCTCTCCAACCCGCATCATTGCTTTAGTTTTCCAGTAGAATCTGGCCAGGTTGGGAATCCCAGACGTCCATTAGTAATTCCAGTCAGTAGCTGCGCAATAGCGCACTGTGTTCCTAGAACAGGACCCTGTGTCTCACTCAGGCATCTTTGTGATGCTCAGAACAAGCCCTGGATGCTATCACTAACCTCCCTAGGCAGGTGAACAAGCCTGATGCCTATGGAGTCTTAACTAATAAACTGCCCAGTGTCATAGACCTTAGCAGGTAGTCAGGCCAGTCAAGAAATCCCCTGGGGTAGTCTGACTCCAGAGAACAAACTCTTGAGTATACAATCAAGATGCTACCCGATAAACTTCAGACCTTTCTGTACTTAATAGACTTTTAAAAATATTGCTTCAAGTGTTTCCTATTTTATCGACTCCAAAATTGTGTATTCGCTTATTTAAAACGCCCCCTCCCCAGTACACCTATCTCTTGAGAGCACTGTTAACTTTGGAGGATGGTCTGGGTTGTTCTCACGAAAGGTGGAGTTTTCTGTAGATAGTCAGCCCCCTAAGCCTCCCCACCTGCATCCTCTCAGACTCATTCAGTCCACCTGGCCCTATTGCGGGGCCCAACAAAAGCTGCAGCCTGTGGCATCTATGTGAGTGTGCAGTGGTTGTCTTGCGTACATAGAGCCTGTTACACTCGGCTCCAATAATGAGTCAGCCTACACGGTTCGGTGTCACTGCGGCTGCTTGGCTCCTATGATGCATCCTCGGGACCAACCCAGGAATTGCCTCAGCTTGTGTGTGTGTGCCTTAGTTGGTTCTATTGCTGTTAGAAACACCATGACCAAAAGCAAATTGGGGAGGAGCGAGAGGGCTTATTTCATCTTTACATATTATCAGGTCACAGCCCATCACCGAGGGAAGTCAAGGCTAGAACGCCAAGGCAGTAAACCCAAAGGCAGGGCTTGAAGCAGAGGCCACGGAGGAGTTTTTACTGGCTTGCTCCCTTAGCTTGCTTAGCCTGCTTTCACCCCCAGGACCACTTAAGAGGTAGTACCACCTTCAGTGACCCTCCCACTTGGTTCATTAATCCAGGCAAGCCTGTGGGTGGCATTAATGGAGGTCCCCACCTCTCAAATGACTTTAGCTTTTGTCACGTTGACAAAACAAATTAACAACAACATCAAAAAACAAACCAAACTGAAACTGGCTTAACAGAGGGCACTCGGGACATGCCACTTTATTTGGGTGATTCCTGGGCTCACTACTGAATGTAAGGGAAAAAAATAAGAACCTTTGGCCCTGCTTTCCTTAGGGTGTCACACATCTTTAAAGGGGCTTTTGAAAGGAAAAGCGGGACCTCAGAGTGGTTGTAAGATCATCGGAGGGGGTTTCGTCTTATTTCCCTTCCTTTCCCCACCTTTCGGTTTTCGAGACAGGGCATGTCTGTCTGTCCTGGAACTCCTCTGTAGATCAGGCTGGCCTCAAACTCAACAGAGATCCACCTGCCTCTGCCTCTTGAGTGCTGGGATTAAAGGCCACCACGGCCTGGCTTCTTTCCCCACCTTTAATAGCTCACTGATAGGCACCAAAATTGGTCTCTTTCATATCCCATCATTGTCAACCCTTGGCTGTCTTCTCCAGCCTGTCCCAGCCAGCAAGGCCGTGTTCCCTGGGCTTGAGATGCCTGCAGAGGAGCAGAACCCTCCTGTGAGGAGCCATCTATCCCCACAGCAGCCCACACCAAACTGGTTTTTGCAGCCTTGCTGGCATCTCAGTAAATCCAGAATAAACAAACGTTCTGCAAGTGGTTATTTCGTTTGCGATACGGTTGCATGACTCAACTCTCAAGCAGGTCTGAAGAACCTCCTAGGCAAAAAGCGCCAATTAACAGACTCAGAATTAGGAGTTAGTTCAGAACTGACTGTATGTGCAGTAGACCTGGAAAAATTGCCGGGGATGGTGGCAGCATGTGAGAAATGGGCAATGGGAAGCAAGGGATTGCAGGCGAGGCAAGCGGAGGGGGCACAGTGTCCTTACATTGTTAGATCCGTCTGGCCTTATGCCTACTTTTTTGTTAAGTGAGTGATTTTAACCACGGTGTCGAGAAAACACCGCAATCCCGAAAGGTGGGTGTTGAAAACAGCCTGGTCTAGCCCCAACACCAGTCAATATTACAGGCTTTTCCTGTAGTTAAGACCTTGCTCTGATCTGGCCGGAGTTCAGTCTGCATGTCCTGGGGACATTCCGTTCCTTTGATTATCAGCTGTTTGTCATTTCTGTTCAGTTTGGGTTCCCTTTTCCAGCCCAGAGTGAATGCGTTAAAGTATTTGAACTAATCGCTTGCTTCCGGTCCCTGGGAAACAGAGCAAACAGTGCTCTGTGTGTTAACACGTGAAACAGCAGCCTCCACCCTTGGTACCCTGGGCAGGAGAGCCAAGCGCATAAAACCCGAACATGACAGACAGCTCACTGCTCTTAAAGGGTGATGTGAACCCCTAATCAAAGCTGCGCTTTCAGTTTCCAATGGGGAGAATGATGGCTTAAATTTCTGAAGTTTACTGTACACATGATGGAGTTACAAATGCTTACAGGTGGGGGGAATGAGAGTCAGACCCGCTCCTTTGGGTATCAGCACAGGCCTCTAGCCTGAGTCCTGATTTCCAAAGCTGGTGCGAGATGAGAAACCTTCCAGTCAGAAAACCTATCCACCAAGGAGATTTTAACTGTCCCCTGCTGCCCAGACAAAAAAACGATTCTTATTTTCTTGTAATTTTTTGCGGTGTCTTATGGTCTCTGCCTGACAGGATGTGGAATTCCATTCGCTTTGTTTCTGCTTTGCGAATTTTTCTCCTCTTAATTTCTGTGCAAGTGTGCCGTGTCTTGAGATGTTCCATATTCTTTTGGTACATTCTTTTGACCTAATGTGGATATACAGGTTGCAGGGAGGCGGGGCTCAGGGATGACACCGAGGTCTAAGGAATGTCTTGAAGGCTTGAATCACTGTTAGACCACAGCCAAAAGAAACAACTAGGAACTGACTCACATCTCTGAAGACACACAAGCCAGAGAGAAGAATTTGCCATTAATGAGTGGTCCTGCCAAAACTCCCTTTTTCTGTGCTTGTAGCCGGAGCCCCAGTGAGTGGCCGCCTTCGAGCTCTGCAAAGTCTAACTTGGTTTCTTTATGATCAGTGGGCTTAGGGGCTCATCTTCCCTCCTCGATGGCCCAGAGACTCTATCACAGTAGGCTCCCTTTGCAAGCATTGAAAGCAGAAGACGGTCTTATGTAGGCTTGACTTTGAACATTCTCACGTTTAAGAAAGACACCATTTTTTTTAATGCTTTTTAAATTATTAATTTATTTTTAGTCTTATGTACATTGGTGTTTCACCTGCGTGTGCCTGTGAGTGAGGGTGTCAGACTCCCTAGAACTGGAGCTGCCATGTGGGTGCTGGGAATTGAACCCAGGTCCTCTGGAAGACCAGCCAGCATTCCAGCCATCTCTCCAGCCTCGGACACCATTGTTGTGTGGGCCGTCCATCGTCGTGGTTCCCAACCTGCCAAGCATGCACATTTTCTGTTGGACTTGTAATTCCCACCTTCAGGCGTGCTATTGCTCAGCTTAGCCCTGAATCTGAATTGTGTGCCAATGAACAAATGTCTTAAACCATGACGTATCACAAATCGTTCATACCTTTGTGTTGTTTTTTGTTGTAGCTCACTCTGGATGCATGGTGAGATGATATGAGGTTTCTGCTTTGGAGAAGCCCGAGTTTTAATGAAGAGAAAGAAAAACAGGAGAAGTTGCTACAAGACTCCTCGAATACCATCGGCTGCACCTTGTGAACGCTCTTTTAAGTGGACATGAAGGAAGGGGTGGGGGAGGGGGGTGGGATTTTTTTTTTTCCGATGCAAGTAGCACATGGTTTAAATATGAATGACAGAACTTGTGATCTAGTCCTTGTCTGGTAATTGTGGATTAATGTCAGCGTTAATCAGCCCCTCAAAGGGAGAGAAAAGCTGGGCTTTTCCCTTGCTGTAGCTCATTCAGCGTTTGATTTCCATGGCCCCACCATTTATGTGCAAGATTTGAAATGGTTGTCAGCTTCCTCTGAGGACGGGGCTTGAAGCCTCCGTGCCAGCTGCTGCTGGAGACGCAAAGCCAAGCATGGGTCAGGAGGGAAGCTGGCCTGGCTGACTGAAGAATGGGAACCCCAGGACTTTCCACTCATCTCAAAAGGGGTTACGGTCCCCCCAGGAACGCCTCTGAACAATGGGGACATTGTTGGTAGCCGTTTGGTAGATGCTCCTCGCTATTTATAGGTGACTTTAACCCTTCTCTTGGCTGTTAAGAAATGTGTTGTAGATTTAGCTATTTATTGTTTGCGGCCTGCATGCTGGAACAGAGCTTCCGTTGTCTTCACGTGGATGGGCGTGTGTGGATGGTCGTATGTTTTGCACATTTTGTGGTTTTTGATGTGCTTTGCTGCACAAAGAGAAAAAAGAAAAAAAAAAAAACTTTGGGGCTATAATTTGGAGGCTAAGTAGAGGGTGGGGGGGTGCATTTTTGAAATGTCGGGACACAGACAGATTCCGAGATGGAAACTCAAATTACATCCCAGAGACAGAGAATCCACAAAGTCACCGTAACTAGACCACCCTTTACTGAGGTTTCACGGTCACACTGGTGGCAGGTCTCACAAGAGCAGGATATTCGTCTGTCCTTCCTCCTGTCTGATTTACCCAACTTTGGTCTTGGCTGCTGACACTTGGAAAGGACCAAATTACTTTATAGTATTCCCCCCATTTGTGTGCTACCCTGAAACCCTGGGGAGAGTCTGCAGACCAGTTCTGTATATAGGGCACAGGTGAAGACATTGCCCAAAGTTTGTTTATTTATTTATCTATTTATTTACTCTAGGTGAATAACACCACCAGTGGGGGACAAACTAAAGTGTATCGGATGTAAATAAACTCACCTCTTTGCTTCCCCTTTGCAGGGGCTCTTGGACATTGATTTACAAAGTACTCTTATTTTCCCAGTTTGATACAATGTACGCTTTGGTGTTCATCCTTGGATACTTAGGTACATAGAAGGGACATTTGGTCACCCAGTACCAAGGAGTGTAAAGGGTGGCCTGTGAAGAGGCCTTCCGCTTCTGTTGGGATCACTTGTGAATACGTCCTGTGCTCCTCCAAATGCTTGTTTACTAAATGTGCAGTGGTAGGTATTAGTGCTAGACTGCCCTGGGCCCTTCTCCAGGTGTCTGGGGAAGAGCAGAACTTGCAACTAACTCTGCCTGTTTTGATCCCTATTCCTCACAGTGCTGTATTAAAAAAAAAAAAAAATTAGGATTTAAGACAGATAAACTGCCTTTACATTGTGAGTGTTTGCCTTGTCTAATGACAGATAATTCCATAACATTTCTCTCCACCTTAGTACTTTAGGCTAATTGTACATGTCTGTTTGTGCCATGAGTAAGTGGACTGCGATAGGACCAAAATAAAACAAATAAGCCGTTGGAATGAGAGCTTCGCAGACCATTCCGGCATCAGTTCCTGGTCCCCAGATGTGTTCTAAGCAGTGTAAGTGTCTGATTGAACCCTGGTGGCATGGTCAGTGTCCTCCCTGTAGCTGTCCCAGCTCCCTAGTTTACGATGCAAATCTGTCTCAAGATCTGCGCTGCTGCTGCTTCTGAGAGGATTTTCTGCAGCTGTTTCAAAGCTGTGGCCCATCCTTGAGTCTTCTATTAATTACTGTGTGAGCCAGAGGGAGCTACACCGCAAGGGTGGGCCCCCACTGGCAGGGGAAACTCTTCTAGACTCCCGCTCTTTTAATTGATGTAGGCGTTTGGGCTTGCTACTTGACCGTTCTCACCCTGTGAAACGTCCCCCACTTTGAAGCAAATACAATTCACAGCGCAGTACACACAAAAACCCTGGCGCAAGACAGGGGAGGTTCTTCTTAGTTTGTGAGCTGGTTGCCGTAGAAACGGATAACAAAGGGCGGCCTTCCACTTCTGGTATAATGGTGGAGCCCCTTTTCTCAGGCTTGACACCTGTCTGAATAAGAGTGATTAGAGCCGCATAATATCCCTCTTTTGCCTGTTGAAAATGTGGTTCATGTACCAAACTCAGTAGAAGTTAGGAAAATGTTCGTGTTTGTGTGTTCTTGTTTGCTACTACTACATTTTTTTGAGGTTTTGTAAAACTGTTATTTTTTTTTCACGATGTGAAACTGAAGGTCAATAAATTATTAGAGATTTTCTCTTCATTCTGTGTGTGAGTTTTTATTTGACAGCAGTATAATTTTAAACACTGGAGATGTGCTTTCTCATTTAATCAAAACGAAGGGCTTTTCCAGGGTTTTCTGAATGTTTAGTTCACCATTCAGCGCCTGTGTTTATGAAAGTAGTTTTGCACATGAGAATCCCCTCTGTCTTTCTGTCTGTCTGTCTGTCTGTCTGTCTGTCTGTCTCTGTTTCTCTCAGCCTAACCCTAGCTGGCTTGTAAACTCTCCAATGTAGACAATGAATCCCATGCCTCCTGTCTGTCTCTGAGTGCTAGGACTATACATACAATCTCTTTCATCCTAAGTGGACTGTGCAGCCTTCACATTAGAATCTAGACTTTGTTTCTTGGTGGGTTCTTGATGTGGGAGGGTCTTCTGTTTTGTGTTGATTTCATTGGTTAATAAACTGCCTTGGCCCTTTGATAGGACAGAAAATTAGGTAGGCGGAGTAAATAGAACAGAATGCTGGGAGGAAGTGAGGCAGTCGCCATGTCTCTCCTTTCTGGTCAGATGCCATGGAGCCAATTGCCAGGTCAGACATGCTGAATCTTTCCTGGTAAGACACCACCTTGTGGTGCTACACACATTAATAGAAATGGGTTAATCAAAATATGAGAATCTTTACTAGACCTGGATGGAGGTGAGTGGTCCTTGGACTTCCCACAGGGCAGGGAACCCTGATTGCTCTTCAGGCTGACGAGGGAGGGGACTTGATTGGAGGAGGGGGAGGGAAATGGGAGGTGGTGGTGGGGAGGAGGCAGAAATCTTTAATAAATAAATAAATAAAAGGCCAAAAAAAAAAAAAAAACCAATATGAGAATTAGCCGATAAGAGGCTAGAGCTAATGGACCAAGCAGTGTTTAAAAGAATACAATTTGTGTGTTGTTATTTTGAGTGTAAAGCTAGCCGTGCAGGAGCTGGGTGGGATGAAAAGCAGGCCTGCTTGCCTCCTCACTACAGGTTCTACTTTGTAAGAGCCCTCTTACAGGAAGGGGTGGGGCCTGGTTCTCCCTGTCCACTTATGCTGATTTAGAGACTGCTCGAAGAGTGTGTTCATCCTCCATAAGGGAGTAGAGAAAGCCTTGTGGGATCTGCAGGCCCACTTGGCTGTTTCTGAGTTGACAGCTGGTCTTGTGTGGAGCCAGATGAAGCCTCCTGCCCTCACTTGACAGTGACTTCATGTCACACTGATGCTCTTCTCTCGCTTGCGCTGGGCCCCTGATTGTCCCCGTGTGCAGAGCAGTGTTGGGCACAGTCTTCCCTGGCCAGAAACTAAACGCTACCTAATTGGGACTCTGGGACTCGAATGAGCAGAGACAATGCCATTAAGACTGCTGGATTTTGACCAAGGTGCCAACAGCAGAGACCTTGAGTCGACAGAAGGCTCAGTTGGTTCCATGCTGGGTGAAGCTGGGGTACAGCCAAGCTTTGGGGAACAAACGTCTGAGCCTTCAGATTCCAGAGGTACAGTACGTATGACCCTTGGAAACCCAGTGGCTAACACAGGTATGACAACAGATGACGGAGGAAACTTGGCACAGGCTGAGTGAGGCTTGAAGACTAGAGAATAATTGCTATGGAGATTGCTACGGACAGAACTTCCCAAATTGTGTGCGCGGAAGATCGTGTGCGCAAGCTTGCAGTGTGTGTGCATCTGCATGTGTTGGGAGGTCAGAGGATAACCTCGGGTGGTGTTGATCCACACATGACATCCGCTTTGCTTTTTCAGATGGTCTCTCACTGGCCTGCCGTTGGCTAGGCTAGGCGGGCTGCCTCGTGAACTCTGGGAGCTCTTCCTGTCTCTTCCTCCCCAGTTCTGAGATGACAGGCACAGACCACTGCCTGGCTTTTGAAGTGGGTCTAGAGATGGAACTCGGGCCCAAGCACTTGACACACTGAGCCAGGTCCCTAGCCTTGGACAGATTTTTTTTTTTTTTTTTTTTTTGCTGGAACGCATGGATAGGTTATGAAGATACTTCATCTTACTAATTTTTCTCTGCCCTCGGACACCAGAATCAGCTTGAATGCAGAGTTTGAACAACATCTGGGTGCATGGCAGCGATCTGCCCACAGTGGTGAAACTGAAGGTGCCTGATGGTCACCGCCGCAGGCTGTCAAGAGTCCGCCTTGCTTCTCTCTACTCTGTCTTCCGAGCCCGGGACTTAGTTCTCATGATCACTGGATGGCAGATGTATCTCACAGCGTCGTGCCTGCTCTCTGAGGAGTCAGAGTGGGCTGAGGGGAGAACAGGCATGTTTGAACAAGTGTTTTCTTCTTAGGTTAGTAATAGTTCGCCTAATGGCTCATTTGGAACACTTAACTTTAATCTCTTGGTAAGAGCTAGGTCTCAGGAAATTACCAAGATGGGTGAATGGCTTGGGAGCCCTTTCCTATGAGTCAGCTGCGTTAGCTGATTTCTACAGTAAGCAGGGAAAGAGAACTGACATCAATGAGCACAGGTTGCCCGCTGTGCTGAGTGGGGTTGCCTACCACAGTGACGAGGCAGAGCCATGGCAAATGGCAGCTCTGTAGATCACGTCGTGTCTGGGTGCCGTGATGAACCAAGGATACGACTAGGTATGTGCTTGGCAGGCACTGAGCCACAGCAGACCGAGAAACCAGCAGAGTCGCGTCTCAACATCTTAGTCTTGGTTCCTTCATTTCTTTTTGGGGGGCGTTTTCTGAGCCCTAGCTGTCCTAGAACTAGCTCTTGTAGACCAGGCTGGCCTTGAACTCACAGAGATCCGCCTGCCTCTTGCCCCAGAGTGCTGGGATTAAAGGCATGCACCATCACTGCCCGGCTGGTTCCTTCATCCTGAGGTAAGCATGACCACCAGTCACAGACAGCAAAACCACACAATATAATGTGTTTAAGAAAAGCACCAAGTCATGCCTGGCACATAGTAGGTTCTTAGTGGCGTTCTGGTTGAGATAAATACACGAATGCATCTCAATGTTAATGTTTGCTCTGGCTGGTGGGTATGGGACTCTTTGCTTCCGCTCTCATAATTCACCTGCATGGGTACCCTTAAGAGTAGCCTCTGTGATTACCCCAACACGGTAAACAGAGCAGGTTCGGAGGGATGATAGAACTTGTCCAAAGGAATGGGGGCACTGGGTTTCCTGGCAAGCTCTTTGGACTGTCCCGTAGGCTCAGGGGAATGACCCATGGAGCCGAGTTCAATTGTGAGAATGATCCATTGCGTCCTGAAGACTGGCCTTGGTGAGATGGTCGAGGAGGCCAGTAGCTGCTGCACCTGCATGGACATGAGGATGAAGAAGCAAATGAGAAGAGTCTCCGCCGTGTCTCAAAAGAATCCTGGTGATGAACGCCTGAAGATAAGGGTTGCAGGGGAGAGAGACTGGGAGTGGAACCTGTAGAAGGTTGATGTGTATACTTGGTAACTTACTGAGCTTCAGCGCCCTCACCGTTCCTACGTTCTTATTTGTAAAATGTTTATGGAACGAGTGAATATGCAAATGGAGTATGGCCTGATCATGGCGCAAGGCGCGCGGGGGTGGGGGTGGGGTCCAGAAAGCCAAATAACCCCCATACAAAGTAACCTTGAATGCTGCTGGAGAGACAGCTCAGTGGGTGAAGTGTTTGCCCTGCAAGCGAGTTCAATCCCCAGTACTCAGGTAAGGGGTGACGGGATGTGCTAGCCAGTGCCATCCCAGTGTCCAGGGGAGGTGGACGAGACACGAGGAGCCCTGGGGCTTGTGGGCCATCAGCCTCGCATGCTTGGCAAACACCAGGCTAGTTAGAGAGGAATCTTAAAAAACAAGGATGAGTGCTCATGAGGAATTACACCCATGGTTATTCTCTGGCCTATACACACCGCCTCAGATGGCCAGAACTTGATTAATAACGGACAGGATCCAAAGTTTTCATCTTTCAGATAAACCACAGAAAGCCAAGTGTCTGTTCCTAATCAATCGCCTTCACAGGACTCTGGCATAAGTGGGCCCACCTGCTGCCTCCCAAAGCCCATGGGCTCCATTCAACCCCCGCCTCCCCTCCCCCACAATAAAGCCTTTGAGTTTCTGCCAGTGACAGTGGCCTGCTCCCTTGCTGTGTGTGACAGCCCTGAATGAGCGGTGGTTGCTTGTTCTCCGTTCACTGGCTGGATTTTTTTTCTTCCCCTGTAGACAAATGTTTGTTCATTAAAATAAGCAAATATCTCAATAGACGCTTTCCCAGAAAAGAAATGAGGACCAAATTGTGGGTTCCGGCCAAGCTAAGGAGTTCAGAAGGTGCCTGCTGTTGTCCTGGGTGGCTGGGTATATGACATGTACACAATTCCTACAGCATGAGAAAAATGGCTTATCAGTTAGTGAGGTTGAGAGAGGGGCATCTGGCCTGGCGCAAGGAGCACAGTTGCTTTGTTTGGGAGTGTTTTTGAATAAATATGAACACAAGTAAGTTTTACAACCGCATTCATGGTGCGCATGGACGTATGAATAAATGCAAAAGCGTAGCAGCTAATTCCTGGGCTGGCCTGTCGCAAATCTCAAAGTGCTTTGCCTGTCTGACACGTACTCAGACTTGGCCATCTGTCCTGCGCTTGAATTTAATCAGAGACAATGAATTTCAAAGCTCTGTCATTTGTCAGACTATGGAAAACTTTAGGCTCCAGACCTAACTTTTAGAGGGTGGGAGGATTGTACTCCTCAGTACGACTGAATTAAAAGCAATTTTACCAAGCAAATGATAAATCTGCCATAGTCATGTCCAGCTCTACACACAGCCCAGCTTGCTTTGTGAGTCTTCAGAAACCAAAGGAGGCAAAGTTTCTGTCTTGCTCTCTAGTCCCGTTTCCTTGGCAACCATAATCTCTCTCTCTCCACATAGACGGGCCTGCGACTGCAGTTGGGGAGAGGCAGTTGGAGTTTCAGGCAATTGGGCAATCTTTCTCTAAACCTCTGCTGTGTTATCAGATGATTTGCTTTGTTACAAGTTATTTTACAACTACTTGTGAGAG